TAGCTGGGACCACAGGCGCCCGCCACAACGCCCGGCCATTTTTTGGTTGCAGCCGTCATTGTTGTTTGGCGGGTCCAGGCTGGGGATTTGAACCCGCCACCTTAGGTGTATGTGGCTGGAGCCTTAGCCGGTTGAGCTATAGGCACCGAGCCTGTTTTGTGTCTTTAAAGCTTTTCTTCCAACCTGTTAAGACTTGTTTATGCCATCTTTTGTTGTAGAGTTTTTATTTTCAGGAATCTCGAGTCTATTTCTTCCTTCTGTCTTCGGGGATTTACATTTTGAGTAGGAACTTCTTCCCAAGCCCCAAGTTATGAAATACTCTCCTACATCTTGCTTTCTATGGTTACTAAAGGTTGGGGTGGTTATGGCAATTTCTTAAAATGACAGTAAAGTTCGCTATATTGATTGACTTTTCCTTTCACAAAAGTCTTCTCTGTAGCAGGTGATGCCATTGTTTTTTTGGGTTTTTTTTTGAGACAGAGTCTTACTATGTTGCATCATAGCTTACAGCCACCTCCAACTCTTGGGTTTAAGCGATTCTCTTGCCTCAGCCTCTCAAGTAGCTGGGACTACAGGTGTCCACTACAATGCCCAGACTTTTTTTGGTTGTGTAGTTGTCACTGTTGTTTGGCAGGCCCAGGCTGGATTTGAACCCGCCAGCTCTGGTGTATGTGGGTGGCACCCTAGCTGCTGAGCTACAAAAGCTGAGCCTACAGTGCCAACTTCTTTTCCACAGCAGCATTGATTTCAGTGGGCTTCGACTACATAGTAAAGGAAATGAAACTAACTAGATCTAACTTCTCTGGAGTACTTACTTGATTAGCATAGCGTTTTGGTAACTTCTTGCCACTGTCAATGTCCATTTCTTCATCATCTTTCTTATCTTCTTCTTCACTCTCTATCCCTGTCCAGTCATCTTCAGCCAGTCTTCTGGCATGGTTCACATAATCTAGCCGCTTGCTGGAGGAAGAAAAGGCATTAAGGATCGGTCTTTATGGCTGGGCATGGTGGCCCACACCTGCAAGCCCAGCATTCTGGTAGGCCAAGGTGGGTGGATCGCCTGAGCTCACGGGTTCAAGACCAGCCCGAGCCAGAGTGAGACCCTGTGCTTAAAAATAGCCAGGCATTATGGCAGGCACCTGTAGTCCCAGCTACTCAGGAGGCTGAGACAAGAGAATAGCTTGAGCCCAAAAGTTTGAGGCTGCTGTGAGCTATGATGCCAGGACACTCTACTGAGGGCAACAAAAGCGAGACTCTGTCTCAAAAAAAAAAAAAAGGATAGGGCTTTATATCTTACAGGAAGACACCCTATAATATGACCAATTTAATTTAATTCAAAGGCCCTAAATTTGTGAACAACCTGGGGATTCTATCGGGAGTAAAAAATCATGAAATCTCCTTTGTAAGGCTAAACTAGTCACTGCCTCCTCACAAATCCTAAATGGGAAGTCCCTTTAGCACACACTCAGTCGTCCTCAAATCCCTTTGGCACACACTCAGTCTTCCTCAGAGTTTCCTAAGAATGGGAAAGGAAAATATTTAAAGGACTTTTCAAGGTTCACTAGTTGAAAAGGCTCACATACTACCCCCCCCCCCACCAGCCCACCTCAGGCTCCCATCCTCACCCCAGATGAGTTGACACTTCTTTGCTTGGCAGACACTTCAGCAAAAGCTCCCAGTGATGGAACAAAGGAAACACCTGAGATGCAGTGAGAGTTCTAATACAAGGACAGCTTCTGGGGCTTTATAGAGCTTTCTCTTTCTTTTTGTTGAGATGTGGTCTCACTATGTTGTCCAGGCTAGATTCAAATTCATGGGCTCACTGATTCTCTTGCCTCAGCTTCTGAAATAGCTGGGACTACAGGAGGCATATGCCACCATGCTTGGTTTATATAGCTTTCTGAGAAGCCAGGTCTTTCTTCAATTCCTGTGTAACTTTCATAAAAGGGCACTTAGTTTATGATTTAATATCTGTTACCTGTTTCCTTTTATCATTATCCTTCATTTTTTTCCCTTCTTTTTTTTTTAAACTACAAATCCTAGAAAATTTAGGAAATTGAGGCTAGGCGAGGTGGCACACTCCTGTAATCCCAACACTTGGGAGGCGAGGCGGGTGTATCGCCTGAGTTCACAGGTTTGAGACCAGCCTGAGCCAGAGCAAGACCTCGTCTCTAAAAATAGACATGTGCTGTGGTGGGCGCCTGTAGTCCCAACTACTTGGGAGGCTGATGCAAGAGAATCAAGTAAACCCAAGAGTTTGAGGTTGCTGTGAGCTGTGATGCCACAGTGCTCTACCAAGGGCAACATAGTAAGACTCTGTCTCAAAAAACAAAAAAAAGGGATCACTAGAAACCAGGAGTATGAGACCAGCCTAGGCAACACGGTGAGACCCTATCTCTAAAAACAGTAAGAAAAATAAGCTAGACTGGGGGCAGTGGCTCATGCCTGTACTCTGGGAGGCTGAGGTGGGTGGACTGCTTGAGCTCACAGGTTCAAGACCAGCCTGAGCAAGTGCGAGACCCTATCTCTAAAAAAAAAAAATAGCCAGTAGTTGTGGGCACCTGTAGTCCCAGCTACTTGGGCAGGTGAGACAAGAGAATTGCTTGAGTCCAAGAGTTTCAGGTTGCTATAAGCTATGACGCCATGGCACTCTTACCAAGGAGACAAAGTAAGACTGTCTCAAAAAAACAAAACAAGAAAAGGCTGAGTGTGGTCACATGTGCCTGTAGTCTCCAGTACTCAGGAGGCTGAGCCAAGGAAGTTCTAGGCTATAGGAAGGTAAGATCGTGCCACTGTACTCTAGCCTGGGTGACAGAATAAAATAAGTAATTAGGGCCAGGCAAGGTGGCTCACACCTGTAATACTAGCACTCTGGGAGACTGAGGCAGGTGGATTGCTTGAGCTCATGAGAGACCAGCCTGAGCAAAAGTGAGACCCCCATCTCTACTAAAAAAAAAAGGCTCGGTGCCTGTGGCTCAAGCAGCTAAGGCGCCAGCCACATCACCTGAGCTGGCGGGTTGGAATCCAGCCCAGGCCTACCAAACAACAATGTCAGCTGCAACCAAAAAATACCCAGGCATTGTGGCAGGCACCTATAGTCCCAGCTACTAGGGAGGTAGAGGCAGGAGAATCACTTGAGCCCAGGAGTTGGAGGTTGCTGTGAGCTGTGATGCCACAGCACTCTACCAAGGGTGACAATTTGAGACTATGTCTCAAAAAAAAAAAAAAAAGAAAAACTGAGGAAAGAGAATCACTTGAGCCCAAGAGTTAGAGGATGCTGTGTGCTATGACATCACGGCACTTGACCCAGGGCGACAGCTAGAGACTCTGTCTCAAAATAAATAAATAAAGCCGGCACGGTGGCTCAGGCTTGTAATCCTAGCACTCTGGGAGGCTGAGGCGGGTGGATAGCTTGAGCTTACCAGTTGAAGACCAGCCTGAGCAAAAGCGAGACTCCGTCTCTACTAAATATAGAAACACTGAGGTAAGAGGATTACTTGAGCCCAAGAGTTGGAGGTTGTTGTGAGCTATCACACCACAGCACTCTACCCAAGGCAACAGTGTGAGAATCTGCGCCCCCCCCCCAAGAAAATCTAAATAAATAAATAAAATAGGTTGGGCATGGTGGCTTATGCCTATAATCCTAGCACTCTGGGAGGTCTAGGCAGGAGGATTGCTTTCACTTAGGAGTTCTAGACCAGCCTGAGCAAGAATGAGACCCTGACTCAACTAAAAACAGAAAAATTAGCTGGGCACTGTGGTGGGTATCTATAGTCCCAGCTACTCAGGCGTCTAAGGCAGGAGAATCACTTGAACCCAGGAGTTTGAGGTTGCTGTGAGCTAGGCTGATGGCACAGCACTCAAGTCTAGGCAACAGAATGAGATTCTCTCTCTCTCTCTCTCTCAAAAAACAAAACAAACAAACAAACAAAAAAACAATTAATATAAATAAAGGACAGGGGAAAGAATGACCTGGGAGTGTAATCTGCAAGCAACCAAGAGGCTGTAGGGAACCATTTCTTTTAAACACACGCAGTGATGATCCAGTACTAGGCAAAGTACATAGTGTATGAAAACTGTGCAGCTGTTAGTAGTTTCTCCTAAACCCTAATTCCTTAATTTATGACTCAGAAGAGGCCTAAGGTACATTGAGAATAAAAAGACAGGCCCTGGCTTCAGAGTAGTTCAGCCCCAAACGCTCCTATCCTGAGTTCTCCCCTGTTTGTGCATCTTGGCATTTAGAATTAAGTGTATGGAAGACATTTCCTCAGATTTCCTGTTGAATTATTTGTCTTGAACTCCCAAGAGCTCCACAGAAACATTTGTGTTGTAGGCAGAAGGGAAGACCACAACCAATACCAGAATTCAGAGTGCAGGACAAGCCACACACACAAGCAAGCAGGGAATGTGGGGAGTGGAAGTCTGGGAGTGGCTTTCACAAGTTTCTAATTTGCAAAGCTCAGTACTGCTGCCAGGAAAAAGAGAAACATTTAACCCAATAATTGAGGTGTTACCTTCAAACAGAGTTTCTTCCACTTTATCTTTTTCTAAACTCCAGGTATAAAGGACACCTACCAGTATTTATCCCTCCCAACCTTGTGGGCAAGAAGATCACTCTACAGAGGATGTACTTTGAAGGGTTTCTGTAGAGACAATCCTAAATCCTCGGAAATGGTTCATAGCTCCAGCTTGGAGAAAGGAGCCAAGGAGTTAAAGCATCCTTACCATTTCTGCAGTTCCAGTAACCGGCGGCGCCGCTCACTTTGCTCTAAGGAACTGTACTTGGATTTGTACTGGGACAGGCGGGGGTGTGGGGCAGCTGTGCTGTTCAGATCTTGAGACACAGAAAAGCTACTAGCCAGGGCTTGGCTCAGCTCTTCCATCTTCGCTACAAAGGAAAACATAAGAAAATGGCTCATTCATTTCTTATTATCCCCTGTGTATAGGCAGTTATGAATGATGTAATATGATGGCTATATTCCTAAAAAAGTCCTCATTTAATGCAAAGTCACAATTATTTCCATTGAAAAAAGTCCTCATTTAATGCAAAGTCACAATTATTTCCATTGAAAAAAGGAAGTTAAAGGGTAAATGAGTTACATATTAGTAATAATATTATTTCCTATAGATATTTCATTGGTGATCTTTTTTTTTTTTTTGAGACAAAGTCTCACTTTGTTGCCCTTGGTAGAGTGCCTTAGAGTCACAGTTCACAGCAACCTCAAACTCTTGGACTCATGTAATCCTCCCAAGTAGCTGGGACTACAGGCACCTGCCATAATGCTCGGCTAGTTTTTATTTTTAGTAGAGGTGGAGGTCTCACTCTTGTTCAGGCTGGTCTCCAACTCCTGAGCTCAGGCAATCCATCCACCGTGACCCCAGGGTGCTGGCGTTACAGGACTGAACCACTGCACCCAGCCCATTGGTGATCATTTTGATAGCTCTTAGTATATATATAAATTGAAACATACAGTCAGGTGTAGTGGCTCAATGCCTGTAATCTCAGCACTTTGGGAAGCCCAGGCAGGAGGTTTGCTTGAGGCCAAGATTGGGAGACTAGCTTGAGTAATACAGCAAGACCTGTCTCTACAAAAATAGAAAAAACAAACAAACAAAAAACTGGCTAGATGAGGTTGTAGTCCCAACTACTTGGGAGGCTGAGGCAGGAGGCTGGCTTGAGCCCAGGAGTTTGAGGTTATCGTGAGCTATGATGATGTCACTGGACTCTAACTGAGGCAACAAAGACCCTGTCTCAAAACCAAACCAAACCAAAACAAACAAACAAACCCCCCTGCCCCCCAATGCTGGGCTGGGTAGACTGTCCTGGTGTGATAGCTGAAAGTCATCTCAAATTCTTGGGCTCAAGAGTTCCTCTTGCTCCAGCCTCCCAAGTAGCTGGGACTGTGGATGCAGTGGTTCATGCAGGTGGATTGCTTGAGCTCAGGAGTTTGAGACCAGCTTGAGTAAGAGCTAGATCTCATCTCTAAAAAAAGTAGCTGGGCGTTATGGTGGGTGTCTGTAGTCCCACCTACTTGGGAGGCTAAGGCAAGAGAATCTCTTGAGCCCAAGAGTTTGCAGTTGCTGTGAGCTATGACCACAGCACTCTACCAAGGGCGACAAAGTGAGACTGTCTCCAAAAATAAGGGGAAAACACCTGAATAAAAATTATGATTCTGGCTCAGCGCCTGTGGCTCAAGTGTCTAAGGCTCCTGCCACATATACCTAAGGTGGTGGGTTCGAATCCAGCCCAGGCCCGCCAAAACAATGACGGCTGCAACCAAAAAATAGCTGGGTGTTGTGGAGGGTGCCTGTGGTCCCAGCTACTTGGGAGGCTGAGGCAGGAGACTCGCTTGTGCCCAGGAGTTGGAGATTGCTGTGAGCTGTGATGCCACAGCACTCTACCCAGGGGGATAACTTGAGGCTCTGTCCCCCCCCCCCAAAAAATCATGATTCATGGGTTTAAAACAAACAAACAAATAAACAAAAGAAAAATTAGTTGGGCATTTTGGTGGGCACCTGTAGTCCCAACTACTTGAGAAGTTTGAGGTATGAGGATTGCTTGAGCCCAAGAGTTTGAGGTGAGTTGTGATGGATGCCATAGCACTCAACCCTAGGGAGATAGAGTAAGACTGTCTCAAAAATAAAAACACACATGAGTTGGCACCCATAGCACAGTGCTTAGGGCGCCAGCCACATACACCAAGGCTGGAGGCCTCAAACCTGGCCCAGCCAGCTAAACAGTGACAACTGCAACAAAAAATAGCTGGGTGCTGTGAAGGATGCCTATAGTCCCAGCTACAGGGAGGCTGAGGCAAAAGAATTGTGTAAGCTTGGGAGTTTGAGGTTGCTGTGAGCTGTGATGCCACTGTACTCTACCAAGGGTGACAGTAAGACTCTGTCTCAAAAAAAAGAAATAGATGAAAATAAATAAAAACACACACAAAAGAACCCCAGAACAAATAAAACACACACACACAAATACAAACGTCAATCACAAGCAAGCAAATTCACTCAGCAATTGAACCAAACTTTTTCTCTTTGTTACCCTTCATGAGCCCTGTCATTAATCCCTTAGCACCACTGACATCTAGTGATGTGATCAAGCATCTAATTTTTCCTGAATTTCCTCCAATTCTAAATAGCTGTCACTCAATAATTAATATGGTTCTCTGATGCAGAGTTCATCCAATTGATTAATAAAAGCCAACTCATAACAAAATTTAGCTCCAGGATAAACACTGGTTCTGGGGTTCTTGGAAGAAGTCCAGAGAAGTCAAAAACCCTAATCCTAGCTGTTACTGCCTCATTTTACAGTTTTGTTTTGTTTCTGGATGGGGAGAAGGAACATTTCAGGGCCACCCATGTGAGACTCATTTGGGAAAAAGCTAGGATGTGAAGAGTGCCTACCAGGTAATGCCAGTGATACAGGAGTGTGAAGGCATCCCTATGAACACTGGGGAGACAGGCAGAGAGCAGGTGTCATTTTTGAGACAAACTTCCCTAAAGAATGGGAGTAGGAGAAAAAAGTGAATTTATTCTTCACTCACACTCCTGTGAATAAAGGTATAAGATGGCACAGGAGCTCACCAAGGGTTAAGGGTGTGCCTTAGATCTTAAGAAAACAGAAATATTTGGGAGAAATCTGACTGACATTGCTGGGATGGCCCAACCCTTTTAACCCTTCCGTGCTAGTGTAAACCAGCAGGCACCACCAATGCTTAAACTCTATCCCAGGGCAGATAGAGTGCTCTGAGCACCAAAATCTATAGTATCATTCCAGAGCCTTGTCCACAGTTACAAATACAACTCCATAGGCTTCTACTTGGCCCATGAGTTATTTTCCATTGTATATTATTTGAAGTCAGAGTTTTTTGTAAATTTGAAGCATTAGTTGTTTTTTTTTTTTTTTTAATATTAAAGGAACTTTGGCTCAACGCTTATAGCTCAGCGGCTAGAGTGCCAGCCACATACATTGGAGCTGGCAGGTTGGAACCCAGCCCAGGTCTGCCAAAACAACAATGACAACTACAATCAAAAAACAGTCAGGTGTTGTGGTGGGCACCTGTGGTCCCAGCTACTGGGGAGGCTGAGGCAAGAGAATTGCTTAAGCCCAATAGTTTGAGGTTGGTGTGAGCAATGACACCATGGCACTCTACCAAGGGCAACATAGTGAAACTCTGTCTCAAAAAAAAAAAAAAATGAAAGAAACGTTAAAATTATCTTTTGCTAGGTATGGTGATGTACACCTACTGCATAGTCCCAGCTACATGTGGAAGGCTGAGGCAGGAGGATCTCTTGAGTCCAAGAGTTTGAGACCAGCCTGGGCAAACAAATAAATGGCAGTTACATACAGATAACATGAAATACGACAGCTTAATTTTTTTTTTTTTGAGACAGAGTCTCACTACGTCACCCTCAGTAGAGTACTGTGGCATCACAGCTCACAGTAACCTCCAATTCTTGGGCTTAAGCAATTCTCTTGCTTCAGCCCCCCAAGTGTCTGGGACTACAGGTGCCCACCACAATGCCTGCCTATTTTTTGGTTGTAGTTGTCATTGTTGTTTTAGCAAGCCCGGGCTGGGCTCGAACCAGCCAACTTCAGTGCATGTGGCTGGCACCCTACTCACTAAGCTATGGGTGTCATGCCAGCTTAACTTTTTTTTTTTTAATTTTCATTTTTTGAGATAGAGTCTCACTCTGTCACCCTGAGTTGAGTATAGTGGCATGATCATAGCTCACTGTAACATCTAATTCTTTTTTTTGGGGGGGGGGACAGTTTTTGACTGTGGATGGGTCTGAACCTGCCACCTCTGGCACATGGGGCCAGAGCCCTACTCCTTGAGCTACAGGTGCTGTCCAACATCTAACTCTTTTTTTTTTTTTTGAGACGGAGCCTCAAGCTATCCCCTAGGTAGAGTGCCATGGCATCACACTCACAGCAACCTCCAACTCCTGGGCTCAAGCGAGTCTCCTGCCTC